TAGCGTGTTTATGAGACAGAAAAAGAAACCAGCAATCCTACCATCATGCAAACAGTTACAGGTTTTTGTTTCACAGTCATCTGGCAGGACGGTAGTACTTCCCTGGGTGGTTGCTGTCTACCAACCTACTACCTATACCTCCAGAATTTACAGTTCCTTACCTTTGAAGGATGTTTAAGGATTTGGAAGTCAATTTTATTGTAGCCATTTTCCAAACTTTCTCAGCTTGCTCGTTTGTCTATTGCCATCCATCTGAAAAAAAATGAAAAGTAAGACTGATGTACCTGCATAGCACTATCCACAAGTCTGCCGTCCAAGGGTATTAAACTACCCCTTATTTACAAAAATTTATATTCCGACTAAAGAGGTGAGGGACAAACTAATTCCATTTATAGGCAAAGGCTAAAATTCCTTTTTCATCTGAACTTACGGAAGGTAAACCAACTTTAATTCTAATCATCGCATTTTAAAAATTCACTTTATAAACTGATACTAAAAGATTCTCGGAGCTTATTGTAACCAGGTACGGAACTGAAAGCCAGTTGTTCTTCCAGAGATTAGCCAGGTGATTATCTACCAAATCTGATTAGACAGCAAAAACAATCTTGCCATCTTGCCCAGATGTGGCATTTAAAATAATGGAAATTTCATGCGCATTTATAAAATATTGGTATTAGGGTTATACAGCACTATCAGAAAAAAATTAGTTGAACACTAAACCTTCAGACAGTTATACAGAGCCTGGGGAAATTAAAGTTATTCAGACTATTCAAGGAACTGAAGCACAAATCCCAAAGGTCGCGAACCCCTCGCCAATGCAAGGGTAAAATCAACAAACTGTTAAATATTAAATATTAGTATACTCATATAAAAAGCCAGCATAAAATGTATTACATCAAAATACTACATTTTTTAGAAGTTTTATTTATCTGAAAACATTAGGGTCAGAACTAGGTAGTTTTATATTAAATATTTAGTACAGGTACAACATTGATTTTCTGGACACCGATGGTCCAGAACCACACAAATTTAAGAGTTCCCACCCCAGTGTATTTACCACCAAACTGTACGTCACTTATCTAACACCAAGGCCCAGGGAGGTACTACAATCCTGCCAAGCGAGCGTAAAACGAAAGCCTATAATTGTTTTACATGATGGTAGGATTGCTGGTGTCTTTTGTCTGTCTCATAAATATGCAAGATTACAGGTATGTCTTGCTACTTCTACTTACACTTGGGTCACACTACACATACATGTACACGTTTATTTACACACTCATCTGAGTTTTCTTTGATTTTATCTTAATAGTTCTTGGTCTTATTACTTTTCCTTTTATATCCATGGGGAAGTGGAATAAGAATCTTTCCTCTGTAAGCCATGCGTGTTGCAAAAGTCGACTAAAATGCCGGGAACAATGGGCTAGTAACCCCTTTTCCTGAAAAGATTACTAAAAAGAATAAGAAGAAAATTGTCAAAGTGGGAAGTTTGAATGTGCGTGGATGTTGTGCAAATGATAAGAGATGATTGTGAATGTTATGAATAAGAAGCTGGATGTCCTGGCTTTAAGTGAAACAAAGCTGAAGGGGGCGGGAGTTTCAATGGAGAGGAATAAATGGGATTAGGTCAGGGGTTTCAAATAGAGGAAATATAAACACATATGCAGTATAATGTGATCCTTTATTGACAATGTTTCACCCACACAGTGGGCTTTTTCAAGTCACACACAGATCTACCTGGGGTGGAAGGTACGGGAGTATTTATAGTCATGTTCAGAATGTTGAGGTCAGGTGGAGAATGCTGCATCTGATGATCTACCGGGTGGAGTTAGAGTCTTGGGTAGCTTGGCAGGGGTATTGGACAAGTTGTGAGTAGACCTTCTGCAGTGTTCTATGTTCTTATGTGGGATAGCGAAGTTTCTTGGAGAGTGGTTCAGCTATGTTATAGAAGCCCTTGTTCTGGTTGAAATTGTTGGTTATAGAGATAAGCGATGATTCCAGGATTCTTCGGTATTGAGTGTTGTCTTCTGTGGCGATAAGTCTTGAGTTTCTGTAGTTAATTAAATGGTTGTGTGAATTGCGATGTTGTACACAGGCATTCCTTGCATCGTCAGTCCTGCTTGCATATTGGTGTTCTGAAATACGTGTTTGGAGGTCTCTTGATGTTTCGCACACGATTTGTTGCAGTCATTACAAGGGATTATGTATACCCCTGCAGAGGATGGAGGCTTGTCCTGTCTACTACTGGTGATGTCCTTGATGGTGGGGTTGTGGAGGTATATACTTGGAATGATGTATTGGAAAAGATGTTGGAAACATGTTTGGCAATGGAGTTGGTGGGGAGGACTATGCATCTCTTCTCGGCAGTGTCTTCTCTGGGTGTGTTGAAGATGTTTAATGCCCGCCGTCTGCAGTCTCTGATGAAGTGACGAGGATAGTGGAGTTTAGAAAATACTTGTTCAATTATAGTGCATTCTTCCTCAAGGAACTCATTGCTGCAGATTCTGAGTGCACGCAGGAAGAAGCCTATAATTACACCACGTTTGGTTTTGGTGTCGTGGTCAGAGTAGAAGTGAAGATGGTTTTGGTTGGTGGGTTTTACGTGTTTCTCTTTCGAAAATCACCTCTTTCAGCAGACTTTTGGACTACCCATGGGTTCGCCACTCAGTGCGGTCCTGGCTATTCCACATAAGAACATAAAACACTGCAGAAGGTCTACTCGCAACTTGTCCAATACCCCTGCCAAGCTACCCAAGACTAACTCCACCTGGTAGATCATCACATGCAGCATTCTCCACCTGACCTCAACATTCTGAACATGACTATAAATACTCCCATACCTTCCACCCCAGGTAGATCTGTGAGAGACTTGAAAAAGCCCACTGTGTGGGTGAAACGTTGTCAATAAAGGATCACATACTGCATGCGTGTTTATATTTCCACTGTCGGTATTTGATACAATTTATTTCCATGGTTTCAAATAGAGTTAGAGCTAAAGAAGGAGTAGCAATAATGTTGAAGGATAAGCTATGGCAGGAAAAGAGGGACTATAAATGTATTAATTCAAGGATTATGTGGAGTAAAATAAAGATTGGATGTGAAAAGTAGGTTATAGCAAGTGTGCATGCACCTGGAGAAGAGAGAAGTGTAGAGGAGAGAGAGATTTTGGGAAATGTTGAGTGAATGCATGGGGAGTTTTGAATCAAATGTGAGTAATGGTGGTTGGGAATTTCAATGCTAAAGTGGGTAAAAATGTTATGGAGGGAGTAGTAGGTAAATTTGGGGTGCCAGGGGTAAATGTAAATGGGGAGCCTTTAATTGAGCTATGTGTAGAAAGATTTGGTAACAAGTAATACATATTTTATGAAAAAGAGGATAAATAAATATACAAGGTATGATGTAGCAAAGTAATGAAAGTAGTTTGTTTTGATTATGTATTGGTGGATAAAAGGTTGATGGGTAGGCTCCAGGATGTCATGTTTACAGAGGGGGAACTGATTATCAGATCATTATTTAGTTGCAGCTACAGTTAGAGTAAGAGGTAGATGGGAAAAGAGGAAGGTGGCAACAAGTAAGAGGGAGGTGAAAGTGTATAAACTAAGGGAGGAAGTTCGGGCGAGGGTATAAGCGAATATTGGGAGAAAGTTGGGTAGTGCAAATATGAGTAGTGGGGGGGGGGGGGGGGTGAAGAGGGTTGAATAGTTTTAAAAATGCAGTATTAGAATGTGGGGGCAGAAGTTTGTGGTTATAGGAGGGTGGGGGCAGGAGGAAAGAGGAGTGATTGGTGTAATGATGAAGTAAAGGGTGTGATAAAAGAAAAAGGTAGCTTATGAGAGGTTTTTACAAAGCAGAAGTGTCATAAGAAGAGCGAGTACATGGAGATTAAAAGAAAGGTGAAGAGAGCGGTGAGAGTGCAAAGGAGAGCAGATGATAAGAGTGGGAGAGGCACTGTCAAGAAATTTTAATGAAAATAACAAAAAATTTTGGAGTTTAACAAGTTAAGAAAGCCTAGGGAAAGTATGGATTTGTCAGTTAAAAACAGAGTAGGGGAGTTAGTAGATGGGGAAAGGGAGGTATTAGATAGATGGAGAGAATATTTTGAGGAACTTAAATGTTGAGGAAGAAAGGGAGGCGGTAATTTCATGCACTGGCCAGGGAGGTATACCATCTTTTAGGAGTGAAGAAGAGCAGAATGTAAATTTGGGGGAGGTGCGTGAGGCATTACGTAGAATGAAAGGGGGTAAAGCAGCTGGAACTGATGGGATCATGACAGAAATGTTAAAAGCAGGGAAGGATACAGTGTTGGAGTGGTTGGTACTTTTGTTTAATAAATGTATGAACGAGGGGAAGGTACCTAGGGATTGGCAGAGAGCATGTATAGTCCCTTTATATAAAGGGAAAGGGGACAAAAATATTGTAAAAATTATAGAGGAATAAGTTTACCGAGTATACCAGGAAAAGTGTACGGTAGGGTTATAATTGAAAGAATTAGAAGCAAGAGAATGTAGGATTGCGGATGAGTAAGGAGGTTTCAGAGTGGGTAGGGAATGTGTAGATCAAATGTTTACATTGAAGCATATATGTGAACAGTATTTGGATAAATGTAGGGAAGTTTTTATTGCATTTATGGATTTTGAAAAGGCATATGATAGAGTAGATAAAGGAGCAATGTGGCAGATGTTGCAAGTATATGGAATAGGTGTTAAGTTACTAAATGCTGTAAAGAGTTTTTATGAGGATAGTGAGGCTCAGGTTAGGGTGAGTAGAAGAGAGGGAGACTACTTTCCAGTAAAAGTAGGTCTTAGACAGGGATGTGTAATGTCACCATGGTTGTTTAATATATTTATAGATAGGGTTGTAAAGGAAGTAAATGCTAGGGTGTTCAGGAGAGGGGTGGGGTTAAATTATGGGGAATCAAATTCAGAACGGGAATTGACAGTTACTTTTTGCTGATGATACTGTGCTTATGGGAGATTCTAAAGAAAAATTGCAAAAGTTAGTGGATGAGTTTGGGAATGTGTGTAAAGGTAGAAAGTTGAAAGTGAACATAGAAAAGAGTAAGGTGATGAGGGTATCAAATTATTTAGATAAAGAAAAATTGGATATCAAATTGGGGAGGAGTATGGAAGAAGTGAATGTTTTCAGATACTTGGGAGTTGACATGTTGGCAGCTGGATTTATGAAGAATGAGGTTAATCACAGAACTGATTAGGGAAAAAAAAAGGCGAGTGGTGTGTTGAGGTATATGTGGAGTCAAAAAATGTTATCGATGGAGGCAAAGAAGGGAATGTATGAAAGTATAGCAGTACCAACACTTATATGGTTGTGAAGCTTGGGTGGTAAATGCAGCAGCGAGGAGAAGGTTGGAGGCAGTGGAGATGTCCTGTCTAAGGGCAATGTGTGGTGAAAATATTATGCAGAAAATTCGGTGTGGAAATTAGGAAAAGGTGTGGAGTTAATAAAAGTATTAGTCAAGAGGGCAGAAGAGGGTTTGTTGAGGTGGTTTGGTCATTTAGAGAGAATGGATCAAAGTAGAATGACATGGAAAGCATATAAATATATAGGGGAAGGAAGGCGGGGTAGGGGTCATCCTCGAAAGGGTTGGAGAGAGGGGGTAAAGGAGGTTCTTGGGCGAGGGGCTTGGACTTCCAGCAAGCGTGCGTGGCGTGTTAGATAGGAGTGAATGGAGTCGAATGGTACTGGGGACCTGACGATCTGTTGGAGTGTGACAGGGTAATATTTAGTGAAGGGATTCAGGGAAAACGGTTATTTTCATATAGGGACTTGAGTCCTGGAAATGGAAGTACAATGCCTGCACTTTAAAGGAGGGGTTTGGGATATGGCATTTGGAGGGATATGTTGTGTATCTTTGATGGTTTATGCTTCTGGGACTGTTGATTCTGAGGCAACTCATGCAAAAACATGTGATTAATGTGCGAGTGTGGTGAAAGTGTTGAATGATGATGAAACGTATTTTCTTTTGGGGATTTTATTTCTTTTTTGGAGTCACCTGCCACGGTGGGAGGACGGGACGACTTGTTGAAAATAAAACAAAAAAAAAATTATTTATATTGTATATAAGTATATGTTAGTAGGGGTAATGTTAATGTATATGAGTATATCTTATGATTTTCTTATATTATGTATTATAAGTTGTTATATATAATAATATAATGTATATATATAGTATGTATATATTATATATATTATGTATATATATATGTATATTATATGTATATATATATGTATATATATATGTATATATATATGATTATATATATATGTATTATATATATATATATATGTATATATATATGTATATATATATATATATATGATATATATATATATATATATATATATGTATATATATATGTATATATAATATATATATATGTATTATATATGTATATATATATTATAATATATGATATATATATATATGTATATATATTAATATATATGTATATATATATATGTTTATATTATATATTATATTTATATATATATATATATGTATATATATATATATGAAATATATATGTATATATATATTTTATATGTATATATATGTAAAATTATATATGTATATATATGTATATATATATATATATGTATATATATAATATAAAATGTGTATATATATATATATATATGTATAAATATATATATTTTATATATATGTATATATTTTATGTATATATATATATATATATATATATGTATATATATATGTATATGTATATATATATATATATATATGTATATATATTGTATATGTATATATATATATATATATATGTATATATATATGTATATGTATATATATATATATATTTTGTATATATATATGTATATGTATATATATATATATATATGTATATATATATGTATATGTATATATATGTATATTTTATATGTATATGTATATATATATGTATATTATATATATATATATATATATATTATATATATATATATATATATTTTATATAATATATATATATATATATATATATATATATATATATATATATATATTAGGTTGGTAGACAGCAACCGCCCAGGGAGGTACTACAGTCCTGCCAAGCGAGTGTAAAGCTAAAGCCTGTAATTGTTTTACATGGTAGGATTGCTGGTGTCCCTTTTACTGTCTTATGAACATGCAAGATTTCAGGCAAGTCTTGCTACTTCTACTTACACTTAGGTCACACTACACATACATGTACAAGTATATATATACACCCCCCTCTGGGTTTTCTTCTGTTTTCTTTCTAGTCCTTATTCTTGTTTATTTCCTCTTATCTCCATGGGGAAGTGGAACAGAATTCTTCCTCCATAAGCCATGCGTGTTGTAAGAGGCTACTAAAATGCCGGGAGAAAGGGGGCTAGTAACCTCTTCTGTATATATTACTAAATGTAAAAGGAGAAACTTGCATTTTTTCTTTTGGGCCACCCACATCGGTGGGATACAGCCGGTGTGTTGAAAGAAAGATACATCTCCATCAACCAACCTCTCTAAAGGCAGAAAAATCAGTAATCTGGAAAGACTTCGGAACCAAAGGTCCAGAAAATACATGTACTGTACTCCACATTACACTAGAAATACAATTTTTCTTTAAACACTGTGGCCATCTCCCACTAACTTGCCAGAGGCATGCAGACAAGACTATTTAGATGTCACTCCAAATATCCCAAATCCTTCTTATTTAAGTGCAGGCATTGTACTTCCCACCTCCGCGACAGTCAGGCTGACTAATTTGCTCACACGTGACACTCTACCCTGCCTTCCCTCCACTACACATTTGCATGCCCTCCAAGTCATCCACATGGGAAGGAATTGAAAAGACGTAAACTGTCGAAGGTGAATATTCCTTTATGAAATGTGTGGATGATACAGTTTGTAATGTCAATGGAACTGCACAAATGTGCTTCTGGCAAGACAGCTACTGAGGGACTAAAGTTTTTACATCGTGTTATTCAGCCTTGAAAGATCGGCAGTTAATTCAAAAATCATGTGTAAAATAAAATAAGGACAAACTTTCCAAAATGAATTTTAAGCTAGTGAACAAACTGAAGATGAATTATTTAAAATAACTGCCCATGATAGGAAATAAGGGGACTCAATTTAAACAGTTTAGCCAATTTAATGAACATGGGTCTTTAAAGTTGCTCAGGGAAAAAAAAAAAAAAAAAAAACTTGCAAGGAAATTTCATGGTATTTTTACAAATTGTCATTCTGCTGACAAGCCATAAAAATTGCTGTTCGGCGAGTACTCAGTTTTCTTAGTACCTTGTTCCCTTCAGTATTGGAAATACCCAAAAAATGGAATTTTTAATATTTCAATTTCTTCTGAAAGGGTAGAAAATCTTTCCAGGGGTTAAAAGAAAAACAATACAAATTTTTCAAGCAGGTGAAAAGTTAGTCTGGGCCCAATTTACACACAAATGACTACAATTCAAAGATGACCCAATTTTTAGCTTTTTACCTTCTATCAACTGCATAAAACTGCCTATATATACAGCATTTGGTAATTCTAATAATTTTACACAAAAATTACAATTAAAAATACCAAAATATGCAGCAAAAAAATGTACTCGCTAATCACATCCTCAGGCCCCTTCTATATTACACTTACAACCAGGAATAACTGGTCATGGTTTATGGTGTGTCAATGAACTGGACAGTATAAACTCAGAACAGACCAGGGGTAGGCACAGTAAGATGATAGAACAGATATCACAATATGCAGAGAAACCACTGAAAATAGTTAACTTTCACAAAAATGCTTAGAAGTTCACTATCCTTTTTACAGTGGTTGTTCTGCACACCAGGGGGTATAAGGGAAACTTTACCAGTCCTCTCAATATTTCCCTACTTTGAGGCAAGTTTCAAGATGCATCCGATTCCGAAACCAAAATAGTTTCCCCTAATAACATTTCTTCCATTTTATCTGATACCAAGAAACAGCCAATAAAACCATACTAAAACTCAATGTTGTCATTTTAAACCAAACAAGATAGTTTTGCTTTTCCCCAATCATGAACTGCACGAGGTAGTATTTAATGCACTGCATGAGGTTGCATTTAATTTATATTTTCATATAGTCGGACTTCAGTCCTGGAAATGGGAAGTACAATGCCTGCACTTTAAAGGAGGGGTTTGGGATATTGGCAGTTTGGAGGGATATGTTGTGTATCTTTATACATATATATGCTTCTAAACTGTTGTATTCTGAGCACCTCTGCAAAAACAGTGATAATTTGAGTGTGGTGAAAGTGTTGAATGATGAAAGTATTTTCTTTTTGGGGATTTTTTCTTTTTTGGGTCACCCTGCCTTGGTGGGAGACGGCCGGAAAAAAAAAAAAAAAACCACTTTACTCCAATTCATCCCCTTATATTTAGGCAAAAGTTTACGACTCGCAGCTTTCCCGGCAGAGCTGAGCTCAATTTGGTTCTACTGAAGCAACCCTGGCATCAGTAAGGTAATCTAATAAGGTTATCTATTTTCCTTAATTTCAAAAAGTATAGTGGTACCAACACTTACATGGGTGCGAAGCTTGGATTGTAAATGCTGCAGCGAGGAGGCAGCTGGAGGCAGTGGAGATGTCCTGTAAGGGCAATGTGTGGTGTAAATATTATGCAGAAAATTCGGAGTGTGGAAATTAGAAGGTGTGAAGTAAATAAATGTATTAGTCAGAGGGCTTGTTGTGGTGGTTTGGTTACAGAGAATGATCAATGTAGAATGACATGCAGTGTGTATAAATCTGTAGGGGAAGGAAGGCGGGGTAAGGGTCGTCCTCGAAATGGCTGGACGGAGGGGTTAAAGGAGGTTTTGCGGGCGAGGGGCTTTGACTTCCAGCAATCGTGCGCGAGTGTGTTGGATAGGAGTGAATGGAGATTAATGGTATTTGGGACCTGACGAGCTGTTGGAGTGTGAACAGGGTAATACAGTGGACCCCCGCATAACGATTACCTCCAAATGGGACCAATTATGTAAGTGTATTTATTTAAGTGCATTTGTACGTGTATGTTTGGGGGTCTGAAAGGAATAATCTACTTCACAATATTCCTTATGGGAATAAATTCGGTCAGTACTGGCACCTGAACATACTTATGGAGTGAAAAAATATCGTTAACTGGGGGTCCACTGTATTTAGTGAAGGGATTCAGGGAAACTGGTTATTTTATATAACCAGACTAGAGTCCTGAAAATGCGATGTACAATACCTGCACTTCAACCTCTTTCGGGGTTTCGGCTGTACTAGTATGGCTTACGTGCCAGGGTTTTTGACGTACTAGTATGCATAAATTCTAGCGCCCTCAAATCTAGCGTGGGGAGGCCCAGGCATTGGGGGTAGGGGAGGGAGGTATGGAAGGGGATGGAGGAGCAGGGAAGGGGTTGGGGAGGGAGGGAGATTGGCTTGCTCTGAGGGAGGAGAGAGTGCTTTCTAGAAGGGCAGGAAGGAATTCACAGCTGGTAGGCCTACATATGAAAGAAAGGGTCTATGGTCAGTGTACGCAATATAAAAAAAATCCTGCAGCACACAGTGCGTAATGAGAAAAAAAAAACTGACTTTTTGGTTTAAAACAGTGACTTTGCACTGTATTTTCGTATGGTATTGATGGTTGTATTCTAGTTTTCCTTGTCTTATTTTATAGAATGGAAGACATATTACAGAAATTGAGATGATTTGGATTGGTTTCGCAATGAAAGTACGTTGAAATTGAGCTCAAATAGCAGAAACGTTAGATTTTTGCCAAAGTTCAAAAGTAAACAAATCATGCCACGTGTCCAACACACGTCAACTGGTGAATCTAATCTTCCACAAGTGCGCTGGTATTATTTATACCATTTCTACACTAATACATAGTCTGCACAACAATAAATCTTCTCTTTTTTGTGAGAATAAAAATCCAAAGTGGAAAGCAAAAGAAATGTTAAGAGGGGCATGGGTATGTGACTAATGAACAGAATGTTACTTTAGTGCCAGGAATGTCTGTCTTGTTTATTCTGGACCCTATTTACAAACTGGCATCTTTTGAAATTTGTGTGAAATTGGCAAAATTGCTAAATTCTGACCACTTTATTGGATAGTTGAAATCTGTAAATGGATGGTTTTTTTGTACTCTTTTCTATTTTAGCGAAATAGTTATGATTTCTGTCGACTAGTACACTGGAATTGGCCAAAAATAGGGCTCAAAGTGGGCAAAAATCGCCAATGCGTAAACATCAAGACCGTTAACTTCGCGAGAACATAATTCCGTAAGTTTTCCATCAAATTTCATACTTTTGGTGTCATTATGATTGAGAAAATATTCTCTATTTTCACTTTTTTTTTTTTTTTTTTTTTGAAATTTTGGCGACCCTGAGAACAATTCTCTGAGAGGGCCTGGCAACCCTCAAAGGGTTAAAGGAAGGGTTTGGGATATTGGCAGTTTGGAGGGATATGTTGTGCATCTTTATACGTATATGCTTCTAAACTTTTGTATTCTGAGCACCAAAAAAATATAAATTGCCTCTACTGTTGCTCCATGCAGGCAGCACTTGTTACCATAAAACAATCGACACCCTTCATTAACCCGTAAACGGTCCAAGCAGATCTACGTTCACATGTGTAGTGCTCCAAGCAGATCTACTTTTTTTTACACATTTTCAAATGTAAAAAAAATTTTTTTTTACATACTTTCAAATGTTGAAAAAACGTATATATATATGTTTGGACCGTTTACGGGTTAAATAATAACATTCAACTCGTGTCAAACTGCACTTCTAAAATCAAAATTGGCAAAATAAAATGCATTTTTTTTTTAAAAATAGCCAGCAATGAAGGCACGTGTATCAGACCCTGCACAAGTTTATGGGTTAACTATCAAACAGCACTTGGACATACTAACCTGCACTAATATGACATTTAGAAGCATCACATTAAAGGCAATGAGTGAATTTTGCATCTGAAGGTTTGCTGCTTTCCAACCTAGAAAAAAATTGAAGTTATAAGTTATCAGCACAAATAATCCCAACAAATTTATATTGTTCCTTTACCACTAAAAATAGTTTTTAATTTTCATTACGAATTTAAAACCATTTACATTTTCTGTGAAGAAACACAAGTACACTGATAATACTAATAGAAAGTTAATGTTAAGGCACTTATTTAGCAAGATATTAAAACTGTTGTATAACAAATTATTATCACTTCAAAACACATCTTTTAAACACACTGGTCTTCTCCCACTGAGGCAGAGGCCTGAAAAAACTTCCACCATTCACACTATCCCTCTTGCCAGAGGCATGTACACATCAGTTTAAATATCACTTGAAACAGCAAATATCCCACACCCCCTCCTTACAATGCAGGTACTGTACTTCCCACCTCCAGGACCAAGTCTGGCTAACCATTTTTCGTGACTACCTTCATGCTCACGCTCCAACAGCTCGTGTAATCCCAAAAACCATTAGTCTCCACTCATTCCCGTAACATGCTCATTTTATGTTCCGAATGGTTGCTTTTCTACTAAGCTTTATACAAAATGTTATATCCTTAACCTTTAAACTGTCCAAACATAGATCAGTAGGGCCCCACTTATACGGCGTGTTAGGTTCCAGGCTCTCGCCGGAAAGCAGAACGCCATTTTTTTCCATTTATAAATGCATATAAATGCCAGACAAGAAGTAGTTTACACTAAATTATATTAAGTTAGTAATAGAACTAGGCATTAGAAACACACAGTAAAATACATTCACAGTACATTCATTACTTATCTTAAAGTATTTGTAATCTTAATGTAGGGAGAGAGGCGAGTAGTACTTATTTGTAGGAAGTCAGGTGCTTGTAGCCCAGGTGTAGGTAGCCCTGGCTCCCCACCTCATACTTAATATACAATATTTAGAATATCCCAGAGTTAATATACGCATACAACACACTCATTATTTACCTTAAAATGTGTAGTCTTAATATAGGAAGAGAGGCAAGTAGTATTTATTTGTAGATAGTGTAGGTAGCCGGTAGGTGTAGCCCGCCTGGGCTACACCTACCGGCTACCTACACTAGCCCAGAGCCATATTAACAGACATACCGTGTTCACTGAATTTAATCTTTTCTAACAACTACCTTTAGATGTCATCATAAACAAAGGAAGAAGTAATGAATAATTCATAGCAAAAATTGTAAACAAAAGCTGAGTGGGGGAGTGGCTGGGCCAAACGCACATTCTTACACGTTTTCTGATGGCTGAACAGAGAAAATGTTGTCCCTACGGCCGGCTACCACACAGCTCCACAAGTATTATCAGAGCACATAAAATATGCAATAAATGCCAGACAAGTTTACACTAACTTATATTAAGTTAGCAATAGAAATAGGCATTAAAAACACAATAAAAGGCAAGATACACACAGAGTACACTTATTGCTTTCCTTAATATATCAATACTAATATGCGAGAGGAGAGTGGCAGGGTGTTTATTGAATAAAATCAGAATGGCACACCATCCTCTAACTCGGCACTTAAGCAAGAGGCTTACGACTCCTCTTTTTATCACAGCTAAGCTTAGATGCCATCGTCAATGAGAGCCAACAAGTTAATGAAAGAGTAAACGCGAGAGAGAACGAGATACAGAGTTCAGACAATGTAAGAATACAAACTGAACAGGTATTGGGTGATCACTTTGTCAGGCAAAATAAATGGGTATTAACCCTTAAACGATCCAAACGTATATATACGTTTTTTCAACATCTGAAAGTATGTAAAAAAAAATGTATATCTTTTTTGTTTTACATTTGAAAACGTGTAAAAAAAACTTATCTACATTTTTTTTTTAATATTTGAAAATATTTTTAAAAAAGTAGATCTACTTTTGGAGCACAACGAATTTGAACGTCAATCTATTTGGACTGTTTAAGGGTTAATGCGTGTCTTAGTTCATTCAGATACGTTTGTAAGAGCTTGTAAAACATTTACCTCTTTTTTTTTATTATAATAATTACCTCAATACAAATACTCTTACATTGTGTACAAGTTGTACAAGTTAGTTCAGAATAAACAAACAGCAACACTATTTTAGAGTGAATGAAGATATTATCATAAAGAGCACTAAACCCACAAGGGTCGTGAATTGCTATATATAGAGTGAAGGCATACGAAAAAAATATTTTTCTACAGTTATCCCCCAGTTTGACTAGAGAAAACTCAATTCTTCCGACACTCCCTACACAGCTGCTTTGTAAACAAATCTCATTTACGTATATTTTTATTTTGAGTATGTATCATGTTTATATGCTATGTAACTGGTTTCATAAATAATTTTCAGGAAAATCATAGATGGATTAATGAAAATGCCTATATTAATGTAAAATAAGACATTTAGTGTGCCCAAGAGTGATTATTATTACGTAGTATTGGAGTCATAAGTAGAGAGACTTAGCAATTTTAATGTGTACCTGCACACCAGCACAGTAAGTATATTTAGGTACAGGTACACAAGTACAGTGGTCCCTCAATAATCGTCCGTAATCCGTTCCTGGAAGTGGGACTATTATCGAAATGGACGATTTACGAATCAATTTTCCCCATAAGAAATGTAAATTCAATTAATCTGTTCCTGACACCCAGAAGTATTAAAACAAAAAAATTTTTTACATGAAATATAGATGTAGTACATAAACAATACAGTGGCACATGATGAATTAAACATTAACAGAATAACACTTACCTTTATTAGCAATTCTTCTTTGTGTATGGAAGACTGGAGAAGGAGACTGATTGGATGAATTACTGTTTGGAAGGGGAATCCCCTTCCATCAACACCTTGGGTACTAATTGCTTTTCTGGGGTTACTTCTCTTCTGTTTCTTAATGCCACTAGGACCACCTTTAGTCACTGGAGTCCTGTCTCGCAAAAAAACTGTCCAGAGAGCCCCGTTTCTGGGTCTCTTTAAAACTCCTAAAATGGGCAAGACTGTCACTGTACAAGTTGCCGATATGGCTTGCAACATCCTTCTCTGGGTGATGTTTCTCCATAAATCTTTCCAGCCTACCTCACATTTCAAAAATCTCCTTAATTTCTGAGAAGGCACCTTCCTCCATCTCTTTCCTCCTCCTCTGCAGCAAGATTCAGAGCTCCATCTGTTGCTGTTCCTGCTGAAGCTCTTTCAGCTCCTCAGTGGTTAGCTCTTTGTTGTGGTCCTCCAACTCTTCCACATCCTCCAAACTCACATCCAACCCCATGGAAGCCTCCAGTGCCACAACGGATTTAACAATGACATAGGCTCATCAGGGTCAGCCCCAAACCCTTCAAAATCCCTCTTGTGGACAACAATCTGGCCCAATTTTCTCCAAGCGGGAGTTCAAAGTCCTGGTAGTCACTCCCTCCCAAGCCTTACCTATAAGGCTTACACAATGGAGAATACTGAAATGTTCTTTCCAAAAATCTCGTAGGGTCAAGTGAGTGTCTGAGGTCACATTCGAGCACCTTTCAAACATTGCTTTGGTGTCGATTTTTTTAAAAGTTTGCAATGCCTGCTGGTCCATGGGTTGGAGGAGAGGAGTGGTATTCGGGGGCAAGAACTTCCTGTGATGACCCAAACTCCTTCAAAATTAGGTCATCCAAGTTTGGAGGATGAGCAGGTGCATTGTCCATTACTAGGAGGCACTTGAAATCCAATTTCTTTTCCAGGAGGTAATTCTTACACTAGGGCCAAACACTTCGTTGAACCAACTACAAAATTTCCCTCGTGACCATGCCTTACTATTAGATTTCCAAAACACACACAATTTACTCTTCATAAACATTTTTTCCTGAACACTCTGGGATTTTCAGAATGGTACACTAGTAACAGCTTCACTTTGAAATCCCCACTAGAAATTAGCACAGAACTTTGCATCAGCCTGTTTTCATAGGCTTGTGTCCTGGCATTGCCTTTTCCTCTTGTGTAATGAAGGTCCTCTTTGGCATTTTCTTCCAAAAGAGGCCTGTTTCGTCACAATTGAACACTTGTTAAGGTTTCAGTCCTTCACTGTTTATGTACTCCTGGAATTCATGCACATTTTTCAGCCGCCTTGTGGTCCGAACTGGCAGCCTCACCATGCCTTACCACACTGTATGCCAGTACGCTTCTTAAATCTCTCAAACCAGCCTTTGCTAGCCTTAAATTCATTCGCATCACTAGTTGCAGGCAATTTCTTTACCAAATCGTCATGCAACTGCCTAGCCTTTCCACAAATAAGCGACTTCATAAGACTCTCCTGCCAATTGTTTCTCATTTATCCACACCAATAATAACTTCTCAACATCTTCGAGTACTGATGATCTCATTTTTGTCAGCATATTTACCCCCCTTTGCAACAACAGCGTCCTTGATTTCTTTTCTAGTCTATGATGGAAGATATGGTTGTACGGGATTTGTTATACATCCTGGACAGTTCGCCCACACGTACGCCACTATCATATTGTTCAACGATTTTCTTAAATTCAATCGTATTTCTCACCTTTACCAAAGGCTTGGCACTAGGAGCTTTCTTTGGAGCCATGGTAGCCTATTTAGCACTTAAATAACTTGCAAGCACTAAAATAAATGAAATATGAAATATTTCATTGGAGCACGTGACGGGACCGTCGCTCACTGGTAAACAATGGCACACTGGCTGGGAAGGAAAGGCTGAGGTGGCTCGAGGCCGCTCAGACCGTGCATACACGTCTGGGACGAAGGACTTAGCGAGTTACCGGACCATTTCCGAGCCAATATTTTGACGAAAAAACAGGACTATTTCCGAAATGAACGACTTTCAGGCCGGACGATTGAGGGACCACTGTATAATTATCAGTACAGTGGACCCCCGCATACCGTTGGCCTTACATAACGTTAAATCCGCATACCGATACATTTTATCGCTAAGATTTTGCCTCACATACCGCTAAAAAACCCGCTCAACGCTGTTCGTCCGAGACACATCTATGCGAGGCCTGAGCCAGCCTCACATGTTCCGCCGGTGACATTGTTTACAAGCCAGCCTCTGCGGTAACATCCAAGCATACAATCTTAACATTTCGTATTATTAGTGTTTTTGGTGATTTTATCTGCAAAATAAGTGACCATGGGCCCCAAGAAAGCTTCTAGTGCCAACCCTGTGGTAAAAAGGGTGAGAAATATTATCGAAATACTGCTGCACCACCGTCAGCTGCTGCTGCACCACCGTCAGCTGCTGCTGCACCACCGTCAGCTGCTGGGTGCACCACCGTCAGCTGCTGCTGCACCACCGTCAGCTGCTGCTGCACCACCGTCAGCTGCTGCTGCACCACCGTCAGCTGCTGCTGCACCACCGTCAGCTGCTGCTGCACCACCGTCAGCTGCTGCTGCACCACGTCAGTTGCTGCTGCACCACCGTCAGCTGCTGCTGCACCACCGTCAGCTGCTGCGCACCACCGTCAGCTGCTGCCCGCACCCCCGTCAGCTTTCTGCACCACCGGGCAGCTGCTGCTGCACCACCCTCAGCTGCTGCTGCACCACCGTCAGCTGCTGCTGCACCACCCTCAGTGTGCTGCACCACCCTCAGCTGCTGCTGCACCACCGTCCCAAGCCTGCTGCTGCACCACCGTCAGCTGCTGCTGCACCACCGTCAGCTGCTGCTGCACACCGTCTGCCCGCTGCTGCACCACCGTCAGCTGCTGCTGCACCACCGTCAGCTGCTGCTGCACCACCCTCAGTTGCTGCTGCACCCCCCGTCAGCTGCTGCGGGACCACCGTCAGCTGCTGCTGCACCACCGTCAGCGCTGCTGCACCACCCTCAGCTGCTGCTGCACCACCGTCAGCTGTGCTGCTGCTGGGACCACCGTCGCTGCTGCTGCTGCTGCTGCACCACCGTCAGCTGCTGCTGCTGCTGCACCACCGTCAGCTGCTGCTGCTGCTGCACCACCGTCAGCTGCTGCTGCTGCTGCACCACCGTCAGCTGCTGCTGCTGCTGCACCACCGTCAGCTGCTGCTGCTGCACCACCGTCAGCTGCTGCTGCTGCACCACCGTCAGCTGCTGCTGCTGCACCACCGTCAGCTGCTGCTGCTGTACCACCGTTGTTGGTGTGGCTTATTGAGAATACCAAGAAACAATTAACCACAGAGGGTTAGCCACCCAGGATAACCCAAAAAAAAGTGTGTCATCGAAGACTAACTTATTTCCATTGGGGTCCTTAATCTTGTCTCCCAGGATGCAACCCACACCAGTCGACTAACACCCAGGTGAACATGGAAAAACGCCTGGAACTAGTGCTCATATTGGTGAATTTGAAGCCAGCAAAGGTTGGTTTGAGAGATTTAAGAATCGCTGTTGCTGGACCAGTCAGCTGTTGCTGGACCAGTCAGCTGTTGCTGGACCAGTCAGCTGTTGCTGGACCAGTCAGCTGTTGCTGCTGCACCATCAGCCGTTTCTGAACATGACTCGTCCCGAACCTGTCCGTCCAGCCTGAGCACCTGCCTTGCCGTCATTGTTTACAAGCCAGGGTGGCCGGTTGCATGCATACATTCGATACATTTTGTATTATTCCATTATTTATAGTGCTTGTAACTGCTAAATAAGCCACCATGGGCCCAAAGAAAGCTGCTAGTGCCAGCCCTGTGGTAAAAAGGGTGATAAATACTATCGTACCACAGTCAGCTGATAAATTGGACCAGTCAGCTGTTGCTGCACCACAGCTGCTGCTGCACCACAGCTGCAGCTGCACCATGGTAGCTGCTGCTGCACCAAGGTCAGCTGCACCACAGCTGTTGTTGCTGCTGCTGCTGCACCATCAGCTGTATTACTCGAAGATGTGGAGTGTGTGTTGTTGGTGTGGCTTAACGTGAAACAATTACTGAGAAACAATTAACCCCGGAGGGTTAGCCACCCAGGATAGCCCAAGAAAGTCAGTGCATCATCGAGGACTAACTTATTTCCATTGGGGTCCTTAATCTCGTCTCCCAGGATGCAACCCACACCAGTCGACTAACACCCAGATGAACAGGGAAAAATGCCTGGAACTAGTGCTCATATTGGTGAATTTAAAGCCAGCAAAGGTTGGTTTGAGAGATTTTAGAATCGTAGTGGCATACACAGTGTGATAAGGCCTGTTCTGGAAGAAAATGCCAAACAGGACCTACAGTACTCAGGAGGAAAAGGCACTCCCAAGACAGTGTCTCATCAGTCATTGCTGCATCTTCAATAAAGGTAAGCGTCATTTATTCTTCATTTAGTAGAGTAGTACATGCACAATATATACTGTGCATGTACTACTCTACTATTGTGCATGTATCCTTCTCTGTGTGTAGCAAAATGTATATTTCATGTGGTAAAATTTTTTTTCATACTTTTGGGTGTCTTGCATGGATTAATTTGATTTCCATTATTTCTTATGGGGAAAATTCATTCGCATAACTATAATTTCGCATAATGAGTTCTCATGAACGAATTAATATCGTTATGCGGGGGTCCACTGTACATATAAAATATGTGGTTATTTTCATATAGTTTGACTTGAGTCCTGGAACTGGGAAGTACAATGCCTGCACTTTAACCCTTAAATGGTCCAAACGTTTATATACGTTTCTCAACATCTGAAAGTATGTAAAAAAAAATGTAAAAAAAAAAAAACTACAAGTGAAAACGGAAAAAAAATGTAAAAAAAAAAAACTACAAGTGAAAACGTAAAAAAAACTTGCTTACATTTTATTTTTTGTTATATTTGAAAATGTAAAAAAAAGTAGATCTACTTTTGTAGCACTACGAATTTCAACGTCTATCTGTTTGGACCGTTTAAGGGTTAAAGGAGGGGTTTGGGATATTGGCAGTTTGGAGGGATATGTTGTGTATCTTTATACGTATATGCTTCTAAACTGTTTATTCTGAGCACCTCTGCAAAAACAGTGATGTGTGAGTGTGGTGAAAGTGTTGAATGATGAAAGTATTTTCTTTTTGGGGATTTTTTCTTTTTTGGGTCACCCTGCCTTGGTGGGAGACGGCCAACTTGTCGGAAAAAAAAAAAAACTTAAAACGCCTGAAATTTTGGAAAGTTTCGTGATATAATAGATGTGGTCACGGAGAATGTGAACAAACCGGGTGGGGCGCCGTATTTAAAAGACCGCTTGCCGTATAGTAAATTTTGGTCATAATTTGACAGATGTATTAGCGGAACACCGTAAGGCAAAACACCGCAAAGCGGGGCCCTACTATGTAAAAAAGTTTTTTCACATTTAAAAACTTGAACAAAACTAATCTACTTTTTTTTATATTTGAAAATATGCAAAATAAACTTAATCTACTTTTGGAGCACTATGCATGTGAACAGACCTGTTTGGACAATTTAAGGGTTAACAGTTTAACCGATGCATACCGAAAATATTCCAGGAATGAAGTGAACAATTACCTACGAAATCCATTCTATGGAGAAAGTAAAGGTTAACTTGTTTTCCTGGTTACTGTAACAACTTTCTTGTAAGATGTACTCTGGGAATTCCCTGCAAATTTGGACAAGAGGAGCAAGAACATTTTGAGTAAAGATTTTCAAGAGTAAAAAACCTTACCTTCGAAACTTTTTCTGAGAAAAGCCTCAAAAATATTTACAAAAGGATATAATTAAATCTAAGTAGTAGGTTGGTAGACAGCAACCACCCAGGGAGGTACTATCGTCCTGCCAAGTGAGTAAAACGAAAGCCTGTAATTGTTTTACATGACTGCAGGATTGCTGGTGTCCTTTTTCTTCTGTCTCAAACATGCAAGATTTCAGGTACATCTTGCTACTTCTACTTACACTTAGGTCACACTACACATACATGTACAAACATATATATACACACCCTTCTGTTTCCTTCTATTTTCTTTCTAGTTCTTGTTTATTTCCTCTTACCTCCATGGGGAAGTGGAACAGAATTCTTCCTCCGTAAGCCATGCGTGTTGTAAAAGGCGACTAAAATGCCGGGAGCAATGGGCTAGTAACCCCTTCTCCCGTATAAATTACTAAATTTAAAAAGAAACTTTCGTTTTTCTTTTTGGGCCACCCTGCCTTGGTGGGATACTGCCGGTTTGTTAAAAAAAAAAATATAATCAGTTAAACCAACACTTACTAGTTTTGGAATTAAAAGCAATACTAGAATAAACCACAAACTATACTCTTGTATCAGGAAGCGTAACTGAAAAAGCAATGATGCTTGGTCAGATAGTGGATGCCTGAATTTTTTCTGCCAAACCTGAATAAAAAAAAAATAACTAATTAACAGATTTGGCAATTATTAACGATCTTAAATGCTATTTTAAACTAAATAGTTACTAATAGTGTACTAAACAGCACAAACCACTGGGAGCAATAATGGGAGTTCACCGTAATTCACACTTAAGAGACCACCTTATGACACGTTGGTTCATCCAGAATCACAGCTGAATGAGAGGCAAATTAATGCAGAAGACAGAATGAGAGTATTTTTATATAGGCAGCAGTTTACAGAGAATTATACAGAAACAAAAAATGAAGAGCCTGGCTCAGGCTCAGAGTATAAGTTTCAGTGGGGGAGAAATAAATGGAATTACATCATGGGTATCAAAGTTAGAGCTAAGGAAGGAGTAGCAGTAATGTCGAAAGATCAGTTATGGCGAAGAAAAAAAAAAAAAAAAGATACATCAATGCGTTAATGCAAGGAGAGGAGCAACTAGTGGAATGAAGTACAAACATTGATAAGAGAAAAGTGAGAATTTAAGGTTTCTACAAAGCACAAGTAACAAAGAGGGTGAAGTTGAAAGAAGCAAGTTGGGAGGTTGTCAACAAATTTTGTTGAGAATAAGCTTTTGAGCTGTTAAATTTAAGCAGCTGGTAGTGATAGAAAAAAAGAAATGTTGAAAGCAGGTTGGGATATAGTTTTGGAATGGTGGTTGACACTTTGTTCAATAAATATATTTAAGAAGGGATGGTACACATGGTGGGCAGTTCCGCTAACTTTGCAAACCTTTAGCTTCTGCTAAATAAAGTTCCGCTAACTCTGAGTCAGCTAAAATAAAATTTCACACGTTGGTAGCTGGAAGGCAATGCCTTTTCAACGGCGCACGTGTTAGTTCCTGTCTGTTGTGGGCGTTTCTCCAACAGTCAGACTGTGTAAACGTTATTTGCCAACGCAGCAGCAGTATTGTTATAGTCCTACAGTGTCAGCAATCACCGGGGTGCATCGTCACTCATCATTATGAACAGGAGGGACGTTTCTGTTCCTCCTGAGGGTGTCGAGTCTGAATTGGTTGCGATTGATGCATTAAGTAGAACACTGCCATCCCATCCAGTGCTGCAGTTGAGTGCCTATTCTCTACAGGCAAAGATATCCTGAGGGCCAAGAGAGCCACCCCATCAGATAGAAACAGAGGCTGATGCTCATGAAGGGCAACCAGCATCACATCAAAGCAATGGATAAGGCCCAGCCATAGTAGTAATCAGCCCAGCCACCATTTGATCTTGGCATGATACCCATGCTATGCATTTTGTACAGTAAATAAAGTATGTTTGATTTAAACTGACGTTTGATTTCATTTGTTCATTTAACTATTTGTGTGCACCTGTATGGCTGTATAGCTGGTGCAGCAATAAGTTGGCCTCAAAGTTTCAACTTCTAGCATGATTTTGAACTAGTTTGCAGTTTGCTGGGGTTCAAAATCTAAATTATGTTAAATGCAAAGATGAACAGAACCAGAATAAAATTAATACAATGAGTAACTGGAACTAATGAAGAAAAGTCAAATAAGCTAACTCAATCTGTTCGGGCGTTATGGGGCTTCAGTACAGTGACAAGCGTGTCGCTCTCATTACATCACAAAATTAAACAATTGCCATTTTCACACTAGTGGCACGATCATGTGACCTTGGCATTCTACATCCTATTACTAAGCTCTCCAGGTCTGTTCTAAAAGTCTTAAAACAAAGTAAAAGACCATAAAAACTAAACCGAATCTGAATTCACGTGAAAAAGTTATCTTTTATTTTTTTTTCTAACAAAGTGGCTATCTCCCACCAAGGCAGGGTGACCCAAAAATGAAGAAAATACCCAAAAAGAAAATACTTTCATCATTACTCACGAAATCGTAATGACACGATTGCAAACAAACCATACCATGGGTGGGGTTTGATCCCACGGTCAGTCTCAAAACTCCAGACCATCGCGTTAGCTAACACGACGATCTGGAGTTTTGAGACCGACCGTGGGATCAAACCCCACCCGTGGTGTGGTTTACTTTCATCATTCAACACTCGCCTCACTCATACATAATCATTGTTTTTGCAGATGCCCAGAACACAACAGTTTAGAAGCATATACGTTTAGAGTTTGCTTCTAAATTTTTTTTGGTCATTTAGTGGTTTAGCTTTAGCCGAGGTGTCTTTTTAGTTAGCGGATTAGCGATTAGCAAAGCTAGCTTTCTGGTTAGCTGTGCCCACCACTGGAAGGTACCTAAGGAGTGGCAAAGCATGCATATGTACAAAGAATTTGGATGAAAGAATTATAGGGGTGGTTTGCACATCTATGGAGGAAAATAGAATGACTTGGAGAGTAAGTTTGCAGTGGAAGGAGTCTCCATAGGAAAGGACTGTGCTTGAGGAGTGGAGGCAAGTAGGTTTTTACTACATTGAAGTGTGATTAAGGTAACATTTAGGAAACCAATTAGTCGGGCTAGTCCTGGAGATGGTGCATACAGTGCCTGCAGTCTGAGGGAGGAGCGGGGATATTTGCAATTTTGAGAGTCATCCAAACTGTAGTATCAGCACGCCTCTGGCAAGACAAGTGATGGAGAAAGTTACCTTTTTTCAGGTCACCCTATCTGTCCCTGAGATGGCTGGTTAAAAAGTGCATTAAAAGTGAGATTTTCCCCAAGGTCAGCAATTTAATACCTCGTGTGCTGGTGTCATGTGCATCTCTTAATACATCTTTGGTGAACTACCAGTTATGTATTTAGACGCTTATATTAAAAGAACATTCATCAGGACAGTAACTGAAGGCACTTAAATTCCATTTACTTCAGAATTAACAGTCTCACCTTTGTAGGCTGTTGAGAGCTTTCCTAATCTACCTTTCTTCTATTCCAGCAATCTTCCAAACTTGCTCAGCTTGGACTTTTCTATTACCATCCATCTGAAAAATTTGTTACACAAATTATAAAGGCATTTAAGTGATAAGTAATGTACATGTATGGCACTATTTACAATTCTGCCACTGTCCAAGAGGATTAAACTACCTTATTTACAGCACCAAAAATCAATTTTCAGACAAAGGTGTGGGAGAATTATGTAGCGAGGTCCAGGAGAGTCAGTCTTTCCCAACAATGGAAGATTTAGCACCAACTGACTTTCAAAGTGAAGTCTGGCTTTGCAGGTATTAAGCAGACATGCTATAGAATTAAAAGGCAAGATGATACCTTTAACAAATTACACCACATTCCACTCAAGCTTGGTACTAAACCTATTAACAGACCTGTGTACAGATTGCCACATTCTCAGGTTGCTATAGCAGAAGAGTTAACCAGTCTTGAATGTGCCAATGATTTCAGTACTTGGAGCCTGGTGACAGATTTTAAGAAGCTGAATGCTGAAACTATTTCAGGTTGTTACCCCCCCCCCCTCAGTCTTACTTCCTGATCTTGAAACCTTATTACACAATATAGAAGACAGCAGTTTTCTTTACCTAAGACTTTTTACAGGGGTTTTGGCAAGTCAATCTTCATGAGGACGAGAGTTAACTATTCCAGTCTACAAATGGTCTCAACTTGCACATTTGATACTTTTTTTAATTTTAAACACATCAGCCTTTTCCCACTGAGGCAGGGTGATGCAAAAAAGAAAAACCCAAAAAGAAAAAAAAAATTAATCATTCAACACTTTCACAATCACTCATACATAAACACTGTCTTTGCAGAGGAACTCTGCTATGTCAGTCCCTTCTAAACTGCCAATATCCCAAACCCCTACTTTAAATTGCAGGCATTGTACTTCCCATTTCCAGGACTTGTTCAGCTAACCAGTTTCCCTGAATCCCTTCACAAAATTTCCTGCTCACACTCAATAGCTCATTAGGCCCCCAAAAAATTCATCTCCATTCCCTCCTAACACTCGTGCATGAATGCTGAAGTCCAAACCCCTCTCCCACAAAACCTCCTTTACCTCTTCCCTCCAACCTTTTCAAGAAAGACCCCTACCCCACCTTCATAGCCAAGAGCTAAAATTATAGTGGAACCCCAAGTTTCGGCCACCGCAGGTTTCGACTGCTTTTCAGCCATATTTTGTCCCGGGTTTCGGCTGGCATACCAGAGATGTCCGTCCCCCTGCGCAGGCGCCTTGAGCCAGTTTAGAGTGGTTTATCCTTGAATGAACATTACCCCATGTGCTCATCCTGCCAGCCAATTATTATAATTATAATCAAGGGGGAGCACTAAACCCTTAGGATTATAAAGCTCATGTGGGGGGGGGGGGGGGGATGGAAGGCATTCAGGCTCAATTCAGGGAACTGGGGCACAAATCCAATTCCCTAGATCAAGAGCTCTTCACCAGCATCAAGGAACCTCCATTGAGGGGTCCATCAAGCCAAGCAACCAGCCAGCCAGTTGAACATTTCACAAATTCCCTGTCTTCCAGATGCCAGCAAGTCTCTTCAATAAAAGTAAGTTTTAAATGTTTATTTAAATTTTAATTTATCTATTGTATTATTACTAATACAAGTATACTATATGTATTTATCTTTTGTATGTAAATCTACATTTAAAAAAAAAAAATATATATATATTTGTGAATATTTGTGGGTCTGGAACGGATTAATTGAATTTACACTATGGGAAATATTGCTTCGCTTTTTGGCTGTTTCGAGTTTAGGCCTAGCTCCTGGCACAGATTACAGCAGAAACTCTGGGTCCCACTGTATTTGCATTTTTTAGTTAAATGTATGGAAGGAAGGAAAGCAAAATTTAATTACATTCCACACTCCATTTTCAGTTAATTTTTAAAAATTCATAAATGATTTAGAATATTATCAATCGCCTTGCTACTGGCCGGACAGTTGCTCTACACTCTGGAAGTCTCCCTTCGATCCCTGCTGGGGAGGAGAATCTGTTCTACAATTTCCATTTCCTTTCTCACAATGCATGTGAAAATAAAGTCTGAATAGAGTAATCAATGACTCCTCAAAGCTAGCTTTAGCTACTGCCATTAGGACCTGCCTGCAGGTCAAATTTATGGCAATCCACTCGGAAGGACTCCTTCATTGTCATCTGCATAGACACTGAAGCCTCAAAACTAATGGATGGCTTCAATCAAGACCCCACAAACAATTCACCATATCCCCACCTCCATTCTTGAAGGTGAAACTTTATGAAAAGACTGGACAAGACTCACTACTGAAGCAGTAAAGTCAACTGACCAAGAAAACACCTGGACCTCTGTAGATAGTATCTCCAAGACCCCTAATGCCTCATCTATGATGAAGATCAGTCTCAGACATCTTCATGGCTGCCCAGAAGCTGACAGTCTGGCCATCTCATTACCACATTCACCCAAGCCATATAGAACCAGAACATTCCCCACATCTCCCACTGCTGGACCTGCTTCTCCTATATCACACGAAGGACTGCCCCCATCAACGATAAGTTGTGTTCAAAATGTGGGAATGATTGACAAATTCAGATCCTGCACCATCACTACATCTCCAACATGTCTTAACTGCAAAGATAATCATACCCTTGCAGCTAAGTGCTGACTCGGGAAAGAAATATCGAAGAAACCTAAAGATGATCCAAAGAAAAACTCCAATTTACAGACATACGCAGCAATAACCAAACTACAAGCAGCCACCACCAAGATTCTACAGATTCTCTCCACTCCCTGGTGGTGCACCCTCCAAGGTGCTGTACTGCATGGAGTATGCACACTTCGCAAATGTAGCAATCCCTGGCACTTTCAAACCACTATCAACGAACTATCCCATTTAAACAACATGCTTGCCTTCAATTTCCCCAGACTCCACACCTTCAGCTGACAAAGATCCTTCCCAACATCAACTTTACTGCACCTGCAGACCTGTCTCCTGCCCAAGCAACTGCTCCTACAAGTTCTATAACCACTTCCACTGCTGACAATGATGATCATGAGGGCCAAGGGCACAATGGGGAAGGTGGGCAGATGGATTTTCAGATTCTCAATACACAGAACACAAAGTAGTAGTAGTAAACAGAGCAAGATCAAGCATCAGCGAGGTAAAAAAAAAACTCAAGTTTCCCAAGGCACTGTCCTGGCACCTCTGCTGTTTCTCATCCTCAGATAAAAAAAAAAAAAAACATACCTTTATATCACTTGCAGATGACACTAAAATAAGCACTAAAGTCACTACAGTAGAGGACACTGAAAAATTACAGGAAGACATATGCAGGGTTTTCCAGTGGGCAGTGGAGAACATGACATTCAATGGTGATAAATTCCAGCTGCTTAGGTATGGAAACACTGAAGAACTCAAAAGGAACACTACACAGAACTCAAGAGGGTCACCAAATAGAATGAAAGGAACACACAAAGACCTGGGAATAATTATATCAGCTGACCATAGTCCTACCCCATGAGTTCAGCTCACTCAGATAAGCTGCGAGTGATAAATTTGGGCCTAGATATGAGAATACGTCTGCGTGGTAAGTATGCACCACATAAAACAAATCCTGCAGCACACAGTGCATAATGAGGGGGGGGAAAAAAATAAAAAAAAAGACTAATTTTGGATTAACCCTTTGACTGTTTTGGTCGTATATATACGTCTTACGAGCCAGTGTTTCAGACATATATATACTCAATTCTAGCGGCTTCAAATCAAGCTGAAGAAAGCTGGTAGGCCCACATGTGAGAGAATGGGTCTGTGTGGTCAGTGTGCACCACAAAAATCCTGCAGCACACAGTGCGTAATGAGAAAATAGTTTTTTTGGATTAAAACGCAGACTGAGGTGTATTTTCGTATAGTATTTATCGACGTATTTGCGTTTTCATGGTCTTAGATAAAATGGAAAACTAATATTACAGAAAGAGGTGATTTTCATTACTTTGACGATGAAAACGACCTTGAAACTGAACTCAAAGTAGCGGAAATGTTAGATTTTTACCAATGTTCAGGAGTAAACAAATCACACCACACGTCCAATACACGTCAACTGAGGAATCTAATACGTATTCTTTCACTAGTGCACTGATATTATTTATACCATTTTTACAATAATGCAGTAGTCTGCATAACAGTAGGTTTTGTACTTTTTTGTATGAATAAAAATCAAAATAGAAAGCAATAATAATATAAGGGGCCTAGAGATGTGACTAATGAACAGAGGATATGTTATTTTAGTGCCAAGAATGTCTACCTTGTTTATTCTGGACCCTATTTTGAAATTGGCATCTTTTTTAGTTTGCGTGAAATTGGCCAAATTGCCAATTTCTGACCACAATATTGGGTAGTCCAAATTGGTAAATGGGAGGTTTCTTGTACTCAACTGATAGATAAAATGCAGTTCTAAAGAAACAGCTATGAGTTTGGTCAACTGGAACAGAATTGGCTGAAAATAGGGCTCAAAGTCTGCGAAATTGCCGATACGCATATGTCGCCGAGACCGCTAACTTCGTGGGAGCGTAATTCCACGAGTTTTCAACCAAATTTCGAACTTTTGGTGTAATTACCATCAGGAAAAGATTCTATCATTTCATAAGAAATTTTTTTTTTTTTTCAAAAATTTAGCGACAATGAGTTTCAGAAAGGGGCCTGAAACAGTCAAAAGGGTTAAAACAGCGTCTTTTTGCGGTGTCTTTTCGTACGTTTTTTAATAGTTGTATTTGCGATTTCTTTGTCTCATTTGATAGAATGAGAGATATATTACAGAAACAGAGACGATTTTGATTGGTCTTAGTACTGAAAATGACTTGAAAGTGAGCTCAAAGTAGTGGAAATGTTAAATTTTTGATGGTCAAGAGTGAACAAATCACATGACTCATCCAACACATGTCAGCTGATGGGTCTTGTGTGCATTCACAAATGTGCTGATATTTATACAATTATTACAATATTGCATAAAAGTAAGTCTTCCATCTTTTATTTGAATAAAAATTCATTGTTAATAAAATCAAAATGGAATTCATTTGTAAAGCCTGAAAACGTAACTAGTGAACAGAGGAAATGTTAGTTAAGTGCCAGGAGTGCCTGCATTGTTTATTCTGGACCCTATTTTGAAATAGGAATATATTTTGAACTTAAGTCATAAATTGGTCAAATTACCAATTTCCGATCACTTCATTGGGTAATTGAAGCAGTTGACCTGGCGATTTCCTGTGCTCAATCGATAAAATAGAAGTAATACTAGCGAAATAGCTAAGAATTTGGCCAACTAGAATAACGTAATTGGCCTAAAATGGGAGTCAAAGGTCGGCAAAAATCGCCAATGCCTCAACATCGCTGATGCATCAAAATTCGCGAGAGCATAATTTCGTCAATTTTCCATCAAACTCCGTACTTTTTGTTTTATTACCTTAAGAAAAATATTCTCTACTATTTCATAATTTTTTTTTTTTTAAATTCTGGGACCCTGTGGACATCTCAGATTTTGGGTCTGGACCCTGAAAGGGTTAAAGACCATAACAAGACAAAGATCACGACAGCTAGAAAGATGACGGGGTGGGCATTGATAACTTTCAAAACGAGGGAAATAATGCCAATGGCGACTCCAATCATTATTGCTCCCTCATTTAGAATATTACTCAGTGCTGATGGCCCCATTCAAAGCAGGAGCTGGAATAAATATACAAGATTGTTTACAGCTCAGATTGAGCCAGTAAAGCACCTAAATTACTGGGAATGCCTTTAAGTCTTGAACATGTACTCACTGAAGCAGCGGAGATACACTAATACAGTGGACCCCCGGTTAACGAACTTTTTTCATTCCAGTAGTATGTTCAGGTGCCAGTACTGACCGAATTTTTTCCCATAAGGAATATTGTGAAGTAGATTAGTCCATTTCAGACCCCCAAACATACACGTACAAACGCACTTACATAAATACACTTACATAATTGGTCGCATTTGGAGGTGATCGTTAAGCGGGGGTCCACTGTATATACCTGGAAAGTACTCGAGGGCCTGGTCCCATATCTGCGCACTGACATAGCATACTGGAGCGAGATATGGAAAGTGTAAAATGAACCCAGCGAGGAGCAGGGGTGCAATGGGGACAATAAGGGAACACTATCAACATCCCTGGTCCCAGACTATTCAACATCTTACCAGAAGATACCAGAAACAAGGCTGGAACAAATGTAGAAGCCTTCAAGATGAAACTGGACAAGTATCTTCACCAGGTGCCAGATCAACCTGGCTGTGATGGATATGTGGGGCAGCAGGCCTCCAGCAGCAACAGCCTGGTTGATCAGGCAAGCACCAGACAAGCCTGGCCCATGGCTGGCTCTGAGAATAGTGAAACTTTCAAAAGTCTTCAAAGGTGTATCAAAGGTAAGGTATGCTGCCTCAACCACAGTCTCCCATGCCTCCCAACCTGCTGCTACATCACCATTACACCTCTCCAGTGCTCCAGTCAACCCGTAGTCATCTAACACCATTGTAGACTTGCCAAATGAACACGCTTAAGATAGTGACGACTCCAGTACACCCTCATGTGAAAAACAATACCTTCTACACTTCTCCATTGAATGCTGACGCCACGACCTGCACTGAGCTCTACAAAGGCCTCGGTGCTGGAATAGTCTAGTATGCCTGCGAATCACCTTCACACCCGCCCAAGTTCTCGAGTTCATCAAGCCTCTACGTTTCACCTTCAGTAACAAGACTAAACTATACCACCTGTCCAGAAGCAGCTTCAAAAAGTTTGAAAATGGCTTCACTGCAAGCCTGCCTCCTCAATTACTCCTGTAACTCCCACCTGTGTGCTGCCCTGATATTCCTACCTGCCTACCCTCTCCTGTGACCTAGAAACTGCCAGCTTCTCTAGACCTCAACTACCATGAGACTGCTGCATACACAGTTTGCTCTTCCTGTATTCTCCAAGTTCATCCCATGAGTGCCTAGCAGTTAAGCCCTGGCTCTCTGACTGTAGACACCTCTCAGTCTTCCCAGTTCGCCCCACGTAGAATCTTACCTAAACTCTTAATCTTGAGAGAATATTGTAACCAGGTATGAAACTGAAAGAATAATAGATCTTCCAGCGATTAACCAGGTGATTATCTACCAAATCTGATTAGACAGCAGAAACAATTTTGCCATCTTGCCCAGATGTGGCATTTAAAATATTCAAAATTTCATAAGCATTTGTAATGTATTTGTTGCAGAGTTGTACAGCACTCACAGGCATAAGTAAAACTATGCAAAACAAAGAGGGTATTAAGACAGTAGGAGAGCACTAAACCCATGTGGGTCATAGAATCAATTCCATATAAAAGCCTCAAAAGTAAGTTAAAGAATCAACAGAGGCAACGTATCCTACAAATTTCAATATCCAGCAACGTCCCCCCCCCTCAAAAGCTAAAGCAAAAACATTTACAAGAATTGTAGTGGGGGGGGGGGGGGAGGAATGTAGAGGATTAAGGTGAAAATTAGTTATTTAAAATTAGTAAAATATTAATAAAACTGATGTCAAATTAAAAAGTAAAGATGTTTGACAAGAGAACAGAAATTTCTGGTAAAATCTGAATTTGTAATGGAAACAATCTTGTATGGGGAGGTAATGGAAAGATGGAAAATGTCAGTTGGCAAAGTTGTGAATATTCCATGAAATGTGTGCATGGATAATGTGGTTTGGAAGATCAACACTGCACATGCATGCTTCTGGTAACACTTGTTAAGGGACAAAAGCCTTCATATCTTCATAGACAGAAACAGCCAATCAGCCAGCCAAACAAATTACACATTCCATAATTGTCTTTTTATTTAGGGCATATAGGTTATGGACATTCTGGCAGGATGACACTGCCAGTGGCACCAAAATTGAAAGGGTGTTGCACAATGGGTTATTATCGAGGTTTTTAATACATCTGCGACCACTTGTGGCCGCATCCACCTCAAAGCCACTATACTCTGGGTCAACATCACCTTCCTCTTAAAAGGGGAGTATGTCATGACATCAGTGAATCCTTGGTTTGCCATGCTGTTTGCTCTAGCTGGCGCTCAATTGAACTGGTGCTCCCACAAGGTACTAAGTGGTCCCAGATTTTTTTTAATACTCACACACACACACACACACACACACACCACACACACACACAACACACACACACACACACACACACACACACACACACACACCACACACACACACACACACACACACACACACACACACACACACAGTGTTAAGACCCATTCTATGCTGACCAGACATCTCGGGCCAATTGTGCCAAATTTGGAGGCAGAAAAAATAAAACGGACCTACATTTGAAGTGCTAGCGGTAAGAACGTACATCTACATTTGGACAGTTACGGAGTTAATGAAAAAATCCTTTGCAATAAGCAAGGACAAGATTTACACTTACAAACTAGTGAGCAGCTGTACAACAGTAACCTTGATTGAAGAGAAAAGGATAAAAACTGAGCTTGTAGAAAAATTGACAAAATTTTACACAGGGATTAAAGCCAAGAAATTATTTTAATGAAATTTAAGAAAATGCTACACAGGCTGTAAAATATTTTTTATCGAAGGAGAAAAACCTGTTTACAATTAAAGAATACAAACTGCAATTTAAGATTAAAAACTTAAGATGCCCTCGTGTGTTCATGTTTAGAGCTTAGTCACCAAGTCCAGTGTCCATCAGTTTTAACACTTAGTTTAATCCCTTGACTGTCGCAACCCCAAATCCTGAGGCATCTCCTGGTATCGCAAAATTTAAAAAAATAAATAAAAAAAAAATTCTTATGAAATGTTAAGAGAATGTTTTCCTGATTGCAATGACACCAAAAGAGCGAAATTTGATAGAAAACTGACGGAATTACGCTCTCACGAAGTTAGCAACCTCTGATATTTACGAATCGGCGATTTCGCTCACTTTGAGCCCTATTTTCGGCTAATTCCATTGTTCCAGTCGACCAAACTCATTGCTATTTCTTTAGAACTCCATTTTTTCTATCAACTGAGTAAAAGAAACTGCTCATTTACTGATTACAACTACCCAATAACCTGGTCAGAAATTTGCAATTGACCCCCGGAACTCTCTCCAGGTAAACGCTTATTAATTTGAGGGGATAGTGAAAGGTTAAAGGAAATGGAGAACAGGACAGTGTTATTTTGTTACAGGAAGAACTGCTAAAATGAACTGGAAATTAAAAAATCTTGAAATAATAAGTATCTGATGCTTGTAGCTACAGATAGGTAGCTACACTGATTTTTAAAGATAAACAAAGCTCATTTCAGTGATCAGGCATATTAGTGATTGAGAGAATAACATTTGTAACAGTTATATGGAAAGTATAACCAAGTTAGCTCACCTGTGCTGGTTTCAGTCACTAAACCAAAGTCATCTTCCAACGTGCCACCAGGTCTGGTAAGCTGCCTGGGAGGCATTTTGGTGCAGTTACAGTGGGCCCTCTAATTTCATGATTAATCCATTCCAGAGAATCTGCTGAAAAGTCAAAATTAAGGAAAATTTAAATCATTTTCCCAAAAACAAATAATGTAAATCCAATTACTCCATTCCAGACAAATTTTTTTTTATTTATTTATCAACACCTCAGCCAATTCCCACCAAGGCAGGTTAGCCCAAAAAAGAAAAACTTTCATCATTCACGCCATCACTGTCTTGCCAGAGGGGTGATTTACACTTTTTTTTTTTTTTTTTTTTTTTTTTTTTTCAACAAGTCGGCCGTCTCCCACCGAGGCAGGGTGACCCAAAAAAGAAAGAAAATCCCCAAAAAGAAAATACTTTCATCATCATTCAACACTTTCACCACACTCGCACATTATCACTGTTTTTGCAGAGGTGCTCAGAATACAACAGTCTAGAAGCATACACATATAAAGATACACAACATATCCCTCCAAACTGCCAATATCCCAAACCCCTCCTTTAAAGTGCAGGCATTGTACTTCCCATTTCCAGGACTCAAGTCCGACTATATGAAAATAACCGGTTTCCTGAATCCCTTCACTAAATATTACCCTGCTCACACTCCAACAGATCGTCAGGTCCCAAGTACCATTCGTCTCCATTTCACTCCTATCTAACACGCTCACGCACGCTTGCTGGAAGTCCAAGCCCCTTACCCACAAACCTCCTTTACCCCTCTCTCCAAACCCTTTCGAGGACGACCCCTACCCCGCCTTCTTCCCCTATAGATTTATATGCTTTCCATGTCATTCTACTTTGATCCATTCTCTCTAAATGACCAAACCACCTCAAACAACCCCTCTTCTGCCCTTGACTAATACTTTTATTAACTCCACACCTTCTCCTAATTTCCACACTCCGAATTTTCTGCATAATATTTACACCACACATTGCCCTTAAACAGGACATCTCCACTGCCTCCAACCGTCTCCTCGCTGCTGCATTTACCACCCAAGCTTCACACCCATATAAGAGTGTTGGTACTACTATACTTTCATACATTCCCTTCTTTGCCTCCATAGATAACGTTTTTTTGACTCCACATATACCTCAACGCACCACTCACCTTTTTTCCCTCATCAATTCTATGATTAACCTCATCCTTCATAAATCCATCCGCGACACGTCAACTCCCAAGTATCTGAAAACATTCACTTCTTCCATACTCCTCCTCCCCAATTTGATATCCAATTTTTCTTTATCTAAATCATTTGACACCTCATCACCTTACTCTTTTCTATGTTCACTTTCAACTTTTCTACCTTTACACACATTCCCAAACTCATCCACTAACCTTTGCAATTTTTCTTTAGAATCTCCCATAAGCACAGTATCATCAGCAAAAAGTAACTGTGTCAATTCCCATTTTGAATTTGATTCCCATAATTTAATCCCACCCCTCTCCCAAACACCTAGCATTTACTTCCTTAACAACCCCATCTATAAATATATTAAACAACCATGGTGACATTACACATCCCTGTCTAAGACCTACTTTTACCGGGAAATAGTCTCCCTCTCTTCTACACACCCTAACCTGAGCCTCACTATCTTCATAAAAACTCTTTACAGCATTTAATAACTTACCACCTATTCCATATACTTGCAACATCTGCCACATTGCTCCTCTATCCACTCTATCATATGCCTTTTCTAAATCCATAAATGCAATAAAAACTTCCCTACCTTTATCTAAATACTGTTCACATATATGCTTCAATGTAAACACTTGATCTACACATCCCCTACCCACTCTGAAACCTCCTTGCTCATCCGCAATCCTACATTCTGTCTTACCTCTAATTCTTTCAATTATAACCCTACCGTACACTTTTCCTGGTATACTCAGTAAGCTTATTCCTCTATAATTTTTACAGTCTCTTTTGTCCCCTTTCCCTTTATATAAAGGGACTATACATGCTCTCCGCCAATCCCTAGGTACCTTCCCCTCTTTCATACATTTATTGAACAAAAGTACCAACCACTCCAACACTATCCCCCCCTGCTTTTAACATTTCTGTCATGATCCCATCAGTACCAGCTGCTTTACCCCCTTTCATTTTACGTAATGCCTCACGTACCTCCCCCACACTTACATTCTGCTCTTCTTCACTCCTAAAAGATGGTATACCTCCCTGACCAGTGCATGAAATTACTGCCTCTGTTTCTTCCTTAACATTTAAAAGTTCCTCAAAATATTCTCGCCATCTACCTAATACCTCCATCTCCCCATCTACTAACTCCCCTACTCTGTTTTTAACTGACAAATCCATATTTTCCCTTGGCTTTCTTAACTTGTTTAACTCACTCCAAAATTTTTTCTTATTTTCATTAAAATTTCTTGACAGTGCCTCTCCCACTCTATCATCTGCTCTCCTTTTGCACTCTCTCACCACTCTCTTTACCTTTCTTTTACTCTCCATATATTCTGCTCTTCTTATAACACTTCTGCTTTGTAAAAACCTCTCATAAGCTACCTTTTTCTCTTTTATCACACCCTTTACTTCATCATTCCACCAATCACTCCTCACGTAGTTTATAAAACTACAACATTAACACCCCTCCTTCAGAGTGAAGACACTGTACTTTCCATCTCCAGGATTCAAGTCCAGCCTGCCGATTACCCTGAATCCCTTCATAAATGTTACTTTGCTCCCACTCCAACAACACGTCAAGTATTAAAAACCATTGGTCTCCATTCACTCCTAAAATACACTCGACGCATGCTTGCTGGAAGCCCCTCGCACACAAAACCTTTACCACCTCCCTCCAACCTTTCCTAGGCCGACCCCTACCCCGCCTTCCCTCCACTACAGATTTATACACCAAGTCATTCTGTTTCGTTCCATTCTCTCTACATGTCCGAACCATCTGGACAACAGTTTTGGCAATCCTGTACCTTCCCTCAACTTCCAAACTACAAATTATCTGCATTATATTCACACCACACATTGTCCTCAGATATGACCTCTCCACTGCCTCCAGCCTTCTCCTCATTGCAACATTCATCACCCATGCTTCACACCCATACAAGTGTGTTGGTACAACTATACATGTACTCTCATACATTCCCTTTGCTTCAATGGGCAAAGTTCTTTGTCTCCACAGATTCCTAAGTGCACCACTCACCCTTTTCCCTTCATCAATTCTGTGATTCACCTCACCCTTCATAGACCCATCCGCTGACACGTCCACTCCCATATGCTAACTTTCTTCCTTACTAGATTCTTTAAATCATTCCACCAATCACTTCTTCCCTCCTGTACCCCTTTCTTGTAACCACAAACTTCTGAACACTAACACTACATTCTTAAACATACCCCATACACCTTCGACCTACTCTCAATAAATCATCTATCCTCCAATAGTCGTTTATATCTTACCCTAACTGCCTCCTCTTAGTTTATAAGCCTTAACCTCTCTCTTACTTGCTGCTTCTATTTTCCCTGTATCCCATTTACCTTTTACTCTCATTCTAGCTACAACTAAAAAGTGATCTGATACATCTGTAGCCCCCTCTATAAACATGTACATCCAAAAGTATTAAAAAATACATTTTTTAGAGATTAAATATAGATTTGCATACAGAAAAGATTGACAAATCAATAGAAAGCAATAATAAAATGTATAAATGAACATTTAACATCACACTTATGTTTATTGAAGACAGGAGGAGGGGAGAGGGAGAAGTAACTGTTTGGAAAGGAGATGCCCTTCCATAAAGACTTTAGGTACCAAGTCCATATCTGGGGCTACTTCCCTTCTTTGTTTTTTAATGGCATTAAGACCAGCTTGAGTCACTAGACACCTGCCGCACTAAAAATATTTTCCACAGAGCTGTTTCTGGCATATTTTTAAGTAAGATTTGCCTAAAATGGGACATAGCACTGTCATTGTACATGTTTATGACAGCTTCCAACAGCCTTGTTAGGGCGATGTTCCTCCACAAACGTTTGCACCTCACTCCACCTTGCACAAATGTCCATAATCACTGAAGATGGCACCTTTTCCCTCTCTTCCTCCTCCTCCTCTGGAGCAGTTTCCTCAGCTGTGGGCTGTTGCAGATGGTCTTGCAGCTCTTCAGTGGTTAGCTCTTCACTGTGGTCCTCAACCATCTCTTCCACATCCTCGCCATTCACATCCAACCCCAGGGACTTCCCCGATGCCACAACGGGCTCCACATCCTCTTTGTACACCTTTAATTCATGCACAAATTTTTCAGCTGCAGGTTTGTCTGAACTTGCAGCCTCAACATGCCTTACAACACTGTATATGCCACTTCACTTCTTAAACCTCTCAAGCTAGCCTTTGCTGGCCTTAAATTCACTAACATGAGCACTCTTTCTAGGCATTTTCTTTACGAGATCGGCATGCAACTGCCTTGCCTTTTCGCAAATTATCGAAGGCATAATACTATCTCCTGCTAATTGTTTTTCGTTGATCCACACCAACAACAACTTCTCAATATCTTCGATTATTTGTGATCTCTTTTGTTAGCATATCTACCCCTTTCGCAACATCAGCTTCCTTTATTTCCTTTTTCTTCGCCACGATGGAAGCGATTGTTGAATAGGGTTTCCCATACATCCTAGTGAGGTCGGCCACACGTAAGCCACTTTCATATTTTTGAACAATCTTTAATTCTATTGTTTCTCACCTTTACCAAAGGGCCAGCACTAGCTTTCTTTTGGCCCATGGTGGCTTATTTAGCAGTTGCAAGCACAAAAAAAATGGATTACGTATGTATGTGTGGGGCAATGGTCACTAGCTGAGAAATAATGCCAGACTGACTGAATTGGGTTTTGGGATTTTGTGTGCGCACGGCCACTGGGATGTGTTTAGTACGGCTACCAAATTTAGAGGGAAGTCACAAAAATAAAGGCTATATTTTGACGAAAAGTTGCCAATAATCAAAATTCATGAAAACAGACTCATGAAATTAGGGGTATTACTGTACATTGTTAATGTTCATAATGTTCATTATACACTAAAGCACCAGGTCTTCATTAATTCCT